GAGAGAGAGAGAGAGAAAGGAGGCTTCCCTGGACTTTGGAGGGAGGTCTGACTCCTGTAACACATTTACATCACTATGAAGCACGAGTGACACAACATTATCAACAGCCTACACACCCTGGTTAAAACTCACGTTACAGTCACTGACACATCAACTTTTACTACAGTCAGAATGATCAATAAGTAAAGATGGGATCTCTGCAACCAAAGTTAACTACATTCAGTCAAACAATAACTTTTTCTGAGAGGGTTTTTGAAAAAGAATGCGCTGCACAAGCAAACCTTTAACTGACTATAATGACTATTATAGATTTGTTTAGTTTGTTTGTGGTTAAAGGAACTCGACGTTCATGCTGAACCAAGCATCCTGTTAAAAAACACAGACAGTGGTTATACTGTTGTTTAAGATGAAGGAAGTGAAATGTACATGAAGCGACAACAGTTCCTGTGAACATAAGACCCATGACTGGATATGCAGTGACACTGCTGTGTCAGCAAGCAAATGAAGAATAATTAAGTTGTGTATGTATGTATGTTGCATGCTTGCTGTCCTAAGTCAAGACAGCACATAAAACTACAAACCATTTGTCATAATTGTCAGTAAGACACTATTTACTTTTAGATTTAACCATAATCATAATAATGACATCCTTGTATCTATTGATATGTTATGTACAACTATTATTGTACACATCACCCAAAGTAACCTCTGTATGTCCAAATAAATAAAGTGACTACCTAGAAAGATCATTTGAAGACAAGCTGTATTAGACCTGAAAATATTTTTTTTTACTCCACAACAGCTGCAGCAATGATGTTCTCTGGCTGTAAAGTGAAGTTCACCTTATTTTGGGCACTGGTCTGTGCATCTCAATTCATGTATTAAAGGAATCTGGAGTAGACGAAATTTGAAATGTGACTCAACACTGCGTGTGTGTGTGTTGGTAATTTAGAGTCTGTGTCAGAGACCACAAGGCTCCCAGAAAAAAGGCCAAAAGCAGTGACTACCTCCAAGTACAACCAGTATATTCAAGAAAAAATGTGTGGAAAATAAAACTAAAAAGCGGAAGATCATGTTGAGGCATGGTAGCATGAAGGAACAAAAAAGCTTTACAGCCCACTGGGCTGCTGTCTTTTTTTGTCTTTTTAAGAAAAGGCAATCAATTGGGATTACTAGACTAAATGTTTCTTTTTCTTTTTTTTTATTTACTCATATCATAATTTCTCAGACCTTAAGGTGCTTTTTCAGAAATGTGCTGAGGAAGTTTCATAATGATGGGAGTTTGGGGGACTTTTGAAACCTGCACTGCAATTTCAAAAGTGCATCAGTCTCATCACAGTGCAATCGCAATCTCATTTTCGTGGTCAAGTAGTACACCTGTGACAATTTACAATAATAAAAAATGAATGCAGCCACAACAAATCCAAACACCATATGTTTGTACTGTGTGTGTATGTGTATGTATGGCAGAGATAAAGAATGGACCAAAATACTATCAGCGTGAAAACACACTCAGCATACTGACCCCTTATCACTAACTTGTCACCATCTTTTAAGGATAGCATAGCAGTATATGTATAATAAACCCTATGAGCCCACATCCAAGACACTATATTAGCCTGGGCCTATAATAGACACACTATCTGTCACATGGTTTTAATGCTGGATTAAAAGGGGGAAAACATACTTTAAAGTCAGTGAGGATGAAAAACTAAGAATTCTAACATGTGATGTGTACAAATCCAAGAATACATACACACTTTAATTGCAATTAAGTCCACCTTGGCATATAATAAGCCAGGTGGTAGCCTATTTCTCACTTTACTTATGTCCCACTAATCCTCTTGAAGGGCCTATGAGTAAATACAGGCTCCAAGGGCAGGGGGTTAAACATGAGATTTGGAGACCCTGTACACACTCTATCCCCTAACCCATTTAACCTCACTGCAATTCACTAAATCTAAACGACGAGGCTGGCTGGCTGGGAAGAAGAGACCAAACATAACAAGCAACAGCAGGTGTGGAGCACTAAACACGTTGCCGAGTGCGATCCAATCCCCTCAGATCATAAAGCTTTTCAAATAATCCTTCAGGAATAGGAAGCATACTGTTTATACGTGGCAGGAACAGAGCTCACCTTGAATGTTTCTTACACAAACCGATGAGTTTCATGTTTATAACAGCGTACACACACACACACACACACACACTCCAGCTCTTGGGAAAACACACCAGTTGTTCAGTTATGACCTCTGACCCTCCACCTCCTTCCTACAGTGATATGAACAGATTACACAGGTCCTATATTGCCTTTAATGACAGGTGCAGCTGTCATATGGGTGTAATTACAAAGAAAGCTGTACAAATACAAGTGCTACTAACGACACAGGAACATTTCCTGTCAAATCTGAACTCATTTTTAGATCGCCAAGTGGAACAGATACGAAATGAGAGTTAAAAAAAAGGCTGTGTTTACATTAGTGTCTCTCACCAGCCTTGTCATCACTGGGCATTGTTTGATTGTGTAAAAGCCACCGGGCTATCTCCCACTGTGAGGGCCACTCATCCTTCCTTTTCACAACAGAGGGGCCCCAAACATACTCCAAACACTATCAACTACTGCCCCCCTCATCCTCCAATCTCTCACCAAAACCATCAAACACACATGCAGCGTCTGGTCTTGTCTGGCTACAGCTGGACTGCGGGGAAAAGGATGACACACAACTTAACATGGCAGGCAAAAGGGAACACCCCACTCACACACATCCAGCAGCAGTCACAGTGGCTCCCTCTGTGGCTTATCACGTCAAAACATATTTGAATGTGCCCCCAAATACGTTGCTAAACATGCATACCAATGGAAATAAAGAATTATTCCTCCCACACAGGTCTGAACACACTTGGTATTTAGGTTTTGGGAAAGTGTGTATTTGTATTACAGGCTTGTGTTTGTAGTGTGTGTTTGATTCCTTACCGGCAGTCGCCCGGAGGATGATCTGATGGGTTTAGCCTCTGGTCCGTGGGGGGTTGAATACAGGCTGTTGGCTCTTTGTTCGGCCGCGGCGGTGTTGCAGATCTGGGTGAAGTAGCCGGCCGGTACCGTGTTCATCAGCGGGCTGGACAGTCCGGTGCCGAAGAACTCGGTCTTCACTCCTCCGGTGGACAAAACCTTCATCTTTTGCTGAGAGCAAGGCAGTCCCACCGGTGGCCGACCCGATGCCGGAGAGACGCCTTTAGGCATCCGCATCATTTTCCTGAGTAAACTAAATTTAACCGGATTGGTCAGGCGAAGGGAGAAGTGTGCTGGTGTGCTAAGCACTCAAATGCTCTGCTAAAACCTTCCCTGTTATTAAGATGCTGCTGCTAAAGGCTTTGTGTAGGAAATATATCTGCACCCTTGCGATTATAATAACAGATCAGCCAGGAGCTTCTCATACAGCTGAGATCTAGCTATTAAATGCAAAATGCACGGGGTAAACAAGCACTTCTGTCGTATTTTCTGATAATATTCAGAAATAAATGCAGCAGACTGCTCGGTGTTATTACCCTTTGTCCTATAACAAAGTGCAGAGGGAACTTATTTAGTAAAAAAAAAACTGCTGACTATATAAGTAAGCACTTTCAAACAACCAGTATTTTTAAAAGTCCAGTACCAGAAAGGTTACCAGGTCTCATTCGGATCGGGTTCCACCGTGAGATTTACAGCTTAATGTGACCCCCTTCTGATGCGGAATCCGACCCGGGTCTGTCACTCCTGTGCGTCCAGCTCAGCGCTCCGCTCTCTCCATACAAGGGGACAAGAACTGGAGAAGAACAGCTTTTTTAGCGCCAAACTTCGTCCCGCGAAATTTAGATCTCCCGCGGTTGGAGCTTGCTTCTGATTGGCTGGCGGCACGTTCGGCTTGTCATATTTGCATAAAACAGTTGTTGGCGGATGGGGCTGCTACTCTTAAAGGGACAGTAGCAGGATTTGGGGACATTGTGTTCTTTCATTTCCAGGCTGGATTTAAGAGACAATAATTGACTAGTTATCATTTGGGATATGAATGAGTCCAGTCTATATAATCATAAATATATTAAGAGTTGTAACTTTGTTGTTTCAGCACTATTAGTATATATCTGTAGGTTATTACCCAAACTGTGCATTGTAAGTCCATCATAAGCAACATTTGAACATCTTACATCATCATTATCATACAGTAACTTCAACTTCGCATTTGCATGTTGTTTAAATGAATAGAACTTTGGTATACATTCAAGATCACATAGTTTTAAAACTTTGGAAATTACAGGAATAGTTTGTACAAAACATTTAAGTTTTTATTAATTTCCTACTTAATGCAATGGTGCATCCACAAAATTGCATTGTGATATCTGAACATTAAATTTGATTGTCTAGCCTCAGTGTAAAAAGTGGAGCAATCAGATACAGTGTATATTTTTAACACTTTCAGGGAAATGTTGTGAACAATAGTGTTCAAGTGGTTAAATATGAATAGTATGTAATTACATATAAAAATGACCTTCATGGTTTCTATAGTCAGAAAGGAGCCATTTCATTGAAATCCATATTCCACTCGATGAAAATGTATTGTGGCTTCTGCAAGGTGCTACTGGGGATAGTTTGTAGATGATAATTGGATTCATTCAGTACCACTCTTGCTTATTGGCTCAGAGGAGATATTGAAAGAAAACAACCCCTCCCCCATCCACAGCTACCAGACCCAAGCCATATGACTTGACCCCCATTGGCCAAGGCAAAGTAGACTGCCATCCAAAGAAAGCCTATTGTTAGGCCTCAATTTGAGCTACAATTCAAATGAAACCTACTAGAAATGTTCTGAATGGCAGATAAGTTAATGATGCTTTATTCACTCAAGATAGTGCCTAATGAGTTAATGTGGAGTATATATAAAGGACCAAAGGTGAGAGAAAAAGCTGACACAGTTGCTGGCCTATTAAACTGGATTAGATAAGATAATTCTTAATTGTCTGTTGGTTGAGAAAATTGCTTTGTAGATCACATGATATTGCAACATAAAACAGAGATTAGAAATACTAACAGAACTGTCATCATATTCTCCACACAGTGCAACTTAAATCATCTCCACCCTCTGTTTCTTCCTCTTTCATACCAAATTTCAAAACACAGTACGTCTCATTAGATATTGCATAGTCCACAGTCATGGGAGTCCCAATCGATTTTTTTTGTTTAAACTGTGTGATCCTTTTTGTAGTTTAATGTGGTTCTGATTGTAAAATGTTTATACAATGTTGAAGTAACTTAATTCTCTTTTAATTAATTCAATTTCTATGTCTTCTTTAGAGAGCTTGGGGCTCGGTGCAGAACCAGTTCTGATATGAGCCTGCAAAGCACAATGATGCAATAGGCTATACCCTTAACACCTGATTTATAACTATTACACTTTGGGGACACAATAATGTATAATTAAATCAGTAAAGCTATGAAATCATTATTATTCATTTTTAAAACATGTTTTTAAAAGCTTTTATTTAGCAGAAGAGTGACAGGCAAGGGGAAGAGAGAGGGGAGATGACACAGGCTGGAGTTAAACCCCTATCAGGACGCCATTGATTTTTCAATGAACAAAATAAGAAGAAAATCAACTCCACCAAGTTCACACAGAATTTAAATGGCTGAAGAGTTAATATATTGCTTAAAGCTGTTGTAAGTATAATGTGATAGCTCACCCTGGAGGCTCAGTGTGGTGCAGACAAACATAAACATACATAATATGCACAACAGCAATGTGCTTTTTGTTCAACACGTGAGACTTGTTCATGATATTGCTGCACTGACTCAGAGTTGTATGTACATTATGTGATGTGAGTTGCTTTGCTCTGCAGTTTATGCTCAGTCATTTCTAGCTTGTATCCAACCAATCTGGAGTTGTTGTGTTGTTGTGAGTACTTACATTCCTGGGATGTCAGGAGCACACAAATTGTTGCATCTTCATCCAACATCCCCATCTTGTGGTGTGACTGGGACCTGGTCTTCAGTACTGTAGCCTCAAGCATTGTTTCTTGTTTATCCTTTAATTAAAAAAAACAAAAACATTCTTTATGTTATCAAATTATCCATATATTCTAAAAAAGTATGTAAGTACAAAGTAAATACAATATCATAGACATGTATGTAATGCAGTTGCAAAATAATCCTGCAACAAATACTGCCTTTGTTTGTTTTTGAGACAGTGTCAGTTAGGTGTTGATTCTACTCAGTGCTAATATTTAGCCAACTGTTTGTAATTGCAATATACATTAAGGTGTTGTCCCCTCATTTGTGTACTTGAGGTGAGGTACAAATTACATCACTGCCTTACAGTATAGTGTAAAACCTGTAAAAAAAAACACACCCCTAAAATTACCAAAGAGTTCAACACTTCTTTAACAGTCTTTACAGTAAATAAATTGGAATCAGCTTTATTGGCCAAGTATGTGTAGACATACAAGGAATTTGACTCAGTTTTCTCCTTTACTCTCACAAACTTTATAGAAAGATAGAGACAGACATTGGAAAAACAAGGACAACAAAGCTGAACAAAGATAGGTAAACATAAACACTGAACTATATTACAAGTAGGTTAAAAAAATAATGTGTACATTAATATATGTAAAAAGCAACAATGAACAATATGTCTATATACAAGTCAAACTGTTTCTGCAAAACATGCAAGAATAAATATTGACTGATAAATGTTTATGATGATGAAAAGATTACCTTATATACATAAAATATACATATTATCCATGTATACATGTCTATATAAATTCTGTTTAGATTTACATTTAACAATGATAATGGTGTGCACTTAAAACAGTGTGTATTTAAACTATAAAATCTAGAATTTATCATTTCTAGGTACAGTGGATGTTTAGTGTTGCAGGGTAATTGCATTGGATTGTGCTTACACTCTTACAGATTTAATTGTTCATCAGTTTTATGTCCTGTGGACAGAAGATGTTCTTGTTTTTGGTTGTTTTGGTGTTCTGTAGCGCCTTCCAGAGGGGAGAAGTTGTATCAGGGTATGAGGGGTCTGCAGTGATTTTTCCTGCTCGATTCCTGACAGTGGAATTGCATATAGGACTTGAATGGATGGCAGGTACAAAGGTACAAAGGTAGTATTCTGGCCTATTGCAAAGCAATATATCATATTCACACCTTGTGTTTCACCTCCTAAGAATATCTATTACAGGTTACATGTTCATGGTGTTCCACTATCTGAAAAACTTTATTCATAGTGCTAATAACCAACTTTACCACTAGATGGGGTTGTAACCTTATTATTAGAGTATACTGAAGGTTAGAACTAGGTCAACTTAATCAACATATTTTCCAATAGCCTATCTTGATTAAGTTAACTTGGTCTGTGTGTTTTGTTTGTTGTCTCTTTTTGAGTTTGGTAAGACTGTAAATAATAAGAAAAATATTAAAATCACAAAACTTTAACTTACTGCTGCTGATGGTCCAGATGAGGCACTGGTAGTACTATGTGCCAACATTTAATGCTTGAAATTCCACAAGGTGGAGTAGTTCAGACAGTTTTTGTGGTAAAGTACAGTATCATAAATTTACAAAACTGCCCTTTTATCATATTTTTTTCTGTGGGCCTAGGAATGGTGCATAAATGCTGCATTACAGGTAATGTTCTTAAGCTTCCGAGGTCAAGGCATGTGTGTACACACGATACTCTGGTGTCCTGAATGTTGATACAAATCTGGCTTCAAGATTTATGAATGATCAGAATGGCTGGTTTGAGATAACGTAACATCCTCTCTTCTTAGCCATTTAGAAAGTTCAACTGCTTTAAACTGCTGGTAACTCATTCTTTGGAAAATTAGAAACACTGACAGGAAACTCCCTTCGTTTGATTTCCAACCACTCAACCTCAAGATTCATCTGAATACATCCTGTTGTATCAGCATTTCATTGTCATCCAAAGCCAAAAAGTCACGTCAGCATCACCCTTACCATCTGAATAACACCCCAAAGGGTTCCAACTCATTCATTGTTTCCTATCAAATATATACCAAGGCCAAACTGTTTCACATATTTTTTTTATTTCATTACATAAGAACATTCATACATACAAAGCAAACTTTATAATAAAGAGTTTATGAAACTCACAGCACATGGTCTGTAGAAATAACACAATCCCTACAAACATTTACAATTAACTCTAGTATAGAGTTCTGATTATACCTAAGAAAACCCAAACTCCCATTCAGAAAAAATACCAACATCCAAACTGACTCACACCTTACATACCCACAGCAGATATGTACACATTCGTAGGAAGTTTTAACAGTCTCCAGATCATTAGAAATAAGATTAAGAAGGGGAAATAATGCTGGGATAATTAAGTGAGATCATGTGAGACTTGGTGTAGAAAGGGTTCTGGTTGGGTTTAACCCACAAAAAGTTTGTTTGGAATGCAACACAAAAAAAAAAAAAAAAAGGAAAATAGAAGAACAATGTACCAATATTTCTACTTCTACCTACAGGTGATCCCAGGTTTTTGGAGGAGGGAATATAAAGCCGGTCGCTTTCAGTTTCCAATCCTGGCTTCTGCTTTGGTGTGTTGATTTGTCTGTCCAGGGGCCAAAGAATGAGTCTCTGTTTTCTTGCTCATGCACTACTGTTGATCCCCACTCATCTAGGAAACGGTCCACTTTTTTCTTGTCTTCTTTCTTTAAACCCTCCACTTCCCTCCTCCTCCTTCTTCTCCTTCTCTCCCAAATACCTATCCCACCCTTTCTGCCCCTCTTGTCCTCTTGCCCGGAGTGAAGTGGAGACATGTGTTTCCCTGCACCTGCATGGAGAGAAAGGAAGAAAAGTGAAGTCAGATCTCTCCCTCTCACCCTCCCTCCCTCCCTCCCTGCAGAGGAGAGCAGACAGACTGGCGCCTAGCATGGAACTTTCATTAACCCCAGGCAGATAGCAATGAATCCGCTACACATTCACTGGCCTGTCTAATTGGCAACCATGGTGAATGTGGAGGGTGAAGAGACTTTCATCTCCCAGCACATGAATGCCAACACTATTCTCAATGGTATTTAAAGTTTTATTTTTAAGTTATGTCGTTTTGAAAGTCATAAAAAAAAAAAAAAAA